CTCACCCCTGGACTAAATTCTCACCCAGAAGGGCTCTTATGACATTTTGGTGGGAGCATGTTGGTGTCAGCATCCTTCGGGGGTTGAGATGCCAGCTGGCTAGCCCCAAGCTGGATCATGCCATTCCAGCCGTGATGATCCCCCGATCTCTGGTGCGACGTAAATCAGCGACTCAGACTTCAAAAGCCTGAGCACACTATATTAACAGAGCATACTGCGCAAACAGAACAGGTGTGAGGCTTGTGGAAACATACCAACAGCTAAAGATTTATTAAGCATAAATCAGGACAAAGAAAACATGTCGTCTCCCTTTCTTCTCCTCAGAGAGACAGAGAAAAGCAAAAGCTATACACACAATGGAAGTTCCCAGCAGACTGTGCTGGAATGTAAACAGACATGTGACACGTAACAATTCCATGTCTGCTCCTTAAGGTGGAATAGAAATTCTCAGTAGTTGGTACAGGAATTGTGTATCATCTCAATTATGATACTTGCGCTTCCCTGCTTCTGAAAATTCATCTTCAGCTCAGTTTGAGGATCTTAGCCAGACCCTCACCAAGGGACAAGTTGCAGAATGAATTCCACCAGGGGTGAGTGTAAGTGCAAGCAGAGACGAGGCAGAAAAGGTATTCAACTGTGCTTGTTATGTGTAATGGCTTTCCCTTATACAGCAACCTTTATAAAATGCAATTAAACTGGGTAATGAAATGAAACAAGGGTGGCAGGACCCTTGCTGCTAGCCCAGCGTTGCTCTACTTGACTAGCAATATCCATGACTGCTAATGATTACGGATGAGGTTAGCAAAACCTAGTCATAGACGTGGTCTCTGTGGCTGAATTTGCCACAGCTGAGATAAGTCTCACAGTGCTTTTTCAAAGGAAGAGCAATTCTATACAGTGGTACCTCGGGTTACATACGCTTCAGGTTACAGACTCCGCTAACCCAGAAATAGTACCCCAGGTTAAGAACTTTGCTTCAGGATGAGAACAGAAATCGTGCTCTGGCGGCGCAGCGGCAGCTGGAGGCCCCATTAGCTAAAGTGGTGCTTCAGGTTAAGAACAGTTTCAGGTTAAGAATGGATTTCCAGAACGAATTAAGTACTTAACCCGAGGTACCACTGTAGTTCCTAATTTATTTATTTTTTGAAATGGACATTTTCTTTTCTCAGTTTTAAAATGCATGCATCGACAACTGGATAAAATGGATAGCTTGAAAGCATTACAAACCAAGAGTCCTGTGTCCCCTTAAGAAGTGGTAGATTTTATTATGTCATAAACCAGCCTTAGAGACGCGGGTGGCGCTGTGGGTTAAACCACAGAGCCTAGGACTTGCCGATCAGAAGGTCAGCGGTTCGAATCCCCGCAATGGGGTGAGCTCATGTTGCTTGGTCCCTGCTCCTGCCCACCTAGCAGTTCGAAAGCACGTCAAAGTGCAAGTAGATAAATAGGTACCACTCCAGTGGGAAGGTAAACGGCGTTTCCGTGCACTGCTCTGGTTCGCCAGAAGCAGCTTAGTCATGCTGGCCACATGACACGGAAGCTGTTCGCCGGCTCCCTCGGCCAATAAAGCGAGATGAGCGCCACAACCCCAGAGTCGGCCACAACTGGACCCAATGGTTAGGGGTCCCTTTACCTTTTAAGCCAGCCTTTGCCCACTGGGTGCCCACCAAATGTTATGGACTGCAGCTCTCATCAGCTCTAGCTGGTATAGTTCAAAACATTAGGAGGGCACCAGGTTGGCATAAGGGTCCATGACCTGGAGGCCACTTCAGTGGACTGTAAACTGTAAAAGCTTATGCCGTGATAACTTTTGTTAGGTTTTAAGGTGTCTTCAGTCTTTTGGTTGATTTTGCTGCAGTGCACTACTGGAAAAAACAAACTTTCATTCATTCCAGAAGCTCAAGGTAGTATTCATGAATTGCACGGGGTTGGACTAGAGGAATATTAGGGTGCATTCCAGCTCTACACTTCTATGATTTTATGGTTCTTCCACTCCCCATTTTATCCTCACAGCAACCCTGTGCAGTAGGTTAGGTTGAGAGACAGTAACTGGCCCAATGCCTGAGTGGGGATTTGAACCCTCATCTACCAGGTCCTAGTCTGAAACGTTAACCACTACACCATACAGGCTCCAAATGTCACATACATGTGGAAATTTTAATACTGGGTACATGGGTAAATCTTTGATCTTGCATAAGTCAAATATCTATATTTTCCACTGATTCCCTCTATCCTTAGCATTCCTCTTAAGATTGTCATTAATGTTAATCTGCAGCTGACTATATTTGTAATAAGCTATAAATGCAACTTTATTGCTCAAATGCAGCCCTGTTTAGTGAAGAACTGATGTTTATCTGTTATAAATTGGTTCGGACTGCAAATAAAGGGTCATCAGAGATTAGAAGTTTAGTCAGAAAGTAGTGGTCAGTTCCAGCTAATTAGTACAGTATCAAAATACTTTTTTTTTTTAAATATACAGCCAGAAATAGTATGCACACCTCTCTTCAAAAGCATTGGCTATTCTTCTACAATTCTCCATGACATATCATGAGCATGGATTTTCAACTCTGACAAATATGAAAGACCAGAGAAGAGAAAGGCTTCTTTGTGTTGATGAGAAGAAAGTCTGTTTATCTCAAATTAGACCTAATATAAACGAGATTACCCTGCAAAAGCAAGCTCATGCCCCTCACTGAGTTTGTATACATACCTAAGGTGCATACGTAAGAGGCTCATTTATAATTATATTTTGGGAATGATTCATGTTCTTATGTTGCTGCATTGTTTTATACTTTCTGGGTGTCCACGATCGTATTATAAAATAGCTGTGTTCAATGTTATAAATCAGGCACTGCTAGGAGCTGTTTCTGCTCGTTTTTAAATAAAAAAAATTGGTGTGGCGCAAGAAAATTTTTATTCTGAGAGTGTGGCCCAGAGGAAAACAGTTTGAGAACCACTGGCCTAGAGAGAGTCCTGAGGGCCAGATGGAGTTTAGAAGATCGCATTTGACCCCTAAGTCTGAGGTTCCTTGCCTCTGCTTTCTGTCATTAGGGCTGGCATTTAGGGTTGGTGTTGTTTGGCATCTGCTACTGTCTCCCAGAGAGGGTGGCGCTGTGGTCTAAACCACAGTGCCTAGGGCTTGCCAATCAGAAGGTCGGCGGTTTGAATCCCCGCGACGGGGTGAGCTCCCGTTGCTCGGTCCCTGCTCCTGCCAACCTAGCAGTTCGAAAACACGTCAAAGTGCAAGTAGATAAATAGGTACCACTACGGCGGGAAGGTAAATGGCATTTTCATGTGCTGCTCTTGTTCACCAGAAGCGGCTTAGTCATGCTGGCCACATGACCCGGATGCTGTACTTGGCCAGTAAAGTGAGATGAGCACCGCAACCCCAGAGTTGTCCGCAACTGGACCTAACGGTCAGGAGTCCCTTTACCTTTTACTGTCTCCCAGATCTCTTAGGGTTGGTTTCACTCTACCTGATCATAGGGGTCAGCCTCGCTTCTTGCCTAACTGTGGTTTCGAGTATTTTAAAATGGATTAGGCAAACTCGTGAAGTTGTGAAGATGGCTGGTGCAGAGGATGTAGGCCACTGACAATTAGCTGTTGGAGCCAAGAGTAGGAGAGGACAATGGCCTTCGTTCATATCCTGCCTGTGGGATTTCCTATGCTCCTAGCTTTTAATGTCATGGCAACAAGGAAAGGTGTCACTTCATAATGGCACCTTGAGAAGTTCATAAGGCCACTGTGATAGGGCCTACATCCATGATGTTGTTAGTCAAGCCAATGCTATTGCAAACTTGGGGGAATGGTGATTTATTAATGGCTGGGTGGATGATATGGGTAAGGACATGGCTCCATTTCCCTCCCCACACTTGAATGGAACAGGGTTTGTAACAATAGCAATAGTCATGTTTCAACACCCAGTAGCTCTTCCATGGTCTTGTCATCTGCTGAGTTGTGGGCCAGGCCCCGTGGTCTCATTTGCCGAATGTCTTAGCAAGAAAACATCTATCCATCATGACCTCTGGGAGCAATCTACTGCCCTGGAGTCCTCTATGCCTCAAACTGACTGAGATGTATAGGCCAGACAGACGAGAATGAAATTCGCTGAGATGCTGCTTGTGGCGGGTCAGGTTCATGGGTGGAGGTTGTGTCCTTCCAGGGCCTCTGAAACCTTCCAGCACCAGTAAACACCTTTGCAAAAGCTGAATGGAAGGAATGGAGAAAGACTATCTCATGCACTCCTGTCTAAGTACTGGTGTAGAAAAATAGCTAACGAAGCTGAAAACCAAGACCAAATAAACCAAATGAAGACAACCTAAGAGATATATATAAACCTTGTTCTGAATTTTGCCTTATAGTCTCCTTTTAATTCACTTCTCCCGTTATTCCCCTCCTTCAAATCCCTTTTTTCCTTTCTGTCAAATACAGTGGTACCTCGGGTTACAGAGGCTTCAGGTTACAGATTCCACTAACCCAGAAATAATACCTTGGGTTAAGAACTTTGCTTCAGGATGAGAACAGAAATCGCATGGCGGTGGTGCAGCGGCAGCGGGAGGCCCCATTAGCTAAAGTGGTACCTCAGGTTAAGAACAGTTTCAGTTTAAGAACGGACCTCCAGAACGAATTAAGTTCTTAACCCGAGGTACCACTTTAAAGCATTTTTCTTCCCTTCACTGCCTCTTACCTATTCCTGATTACCCTATTTCCTGAATTTTCCCTATTTCTATTTTAATAATTGTATCCAAGTATTCTTTTGTAATTGTATCCAGGTAATTTTAAATTGTATCTAGGTATTTTTCTCATAATTGTGTCTTTGTAAATGTGAATCCCTAAGGTGACCCTTTTGCAATTGTTACATTTGGCGTCTTTGCAAATGGAACTGACCCCTTTGTATCCTTGTGCCTTATCAGCATTGAGACTTCTCAATGAATGTAACTACTTTCAGGAAAATAAGAACTGGAACCCATGTATTCAAATTGCACCACTTTATTGTAACCATGAAAGTATAAATGTTGTTTTTAGCCTCAAACTAATCACTTCCACTCAGCTCCCCTTCCTTCTTCTGTAAAGTGCCAGAGGACCATATCCATTTCCTTTGACCCTGTAGGGATAAAAATCCAACTGTTGGATGACACTCTCATCCTTACTGCTAATCTTGAAAAAACGGATTACCATATCATTTGCCATCTCTTCCTGGATTTCTAGGTATTACCTAACTCATGTGGATAGGATTTACACGCCACCTTGTATCTTGCACCCAAACCTCCCTTTTGCACCCTGCACCCATGTACCTCCCCCTTACCTTGTAATTTGACGAATTTGTGACAAATATGTTATAAGAATTTAAGGTCTCAAATATATACAGTATAAACCACATGTCTGAAAACAGTACAGGAAATCAGACCTGAAACCATTTTGACTCTCCCTGTTGTTGTTTAGTCGTGTCCGACTCTTCATGATCCCATGGACCAGAGCATACCAGGCACTCCTGTCTTCCACTGCCTCCCGCAGTTTGGTCAATTAGTTTCTCCCTAATTGACCTCAAATGTTTTGAAATGGGAAAACCTCCCCATTGTCTCTTTGCTGACAAATCCTGTCTTAAGGGCGTATCTGTGTATGAATAGGGTGAGCCTGTGACCTGGATTCAGGAACTGAGTATTTACCATCCCAAAAGAGTAGCCAGACTGCCCAGGTAAAAGCAATCAGTGACCATTATCAGGTACCCTGGCAAACAGGATTTCTGCTGTAGACCACCTCCTTCTGTGATGTATGTATGATGTTTCAGGGGGGTGGTCTTGGGCTACAGGGTGGTCAATTTCAAAAGTCCATATAAGAGCTTGCACACCAATGTTCTGGGTCCCTCCTGCCTCCTGCGTGTGGGGGGAGCCCCCTGTAGCAACAGTTAATAAAGATCAGGCTTACTAGCTGCTTCGCTTCTCAATATTCTCTGGTTGGTCTCTGTTATTTTCTCCTACCGATAGGGAACCTACATAAGGTCTCTATTCGGGCTCTTGGGTACCCAATAAGGGAAAAAGAACAAGTTTTTCTTATAGCAAATAAGACCACCCACAATTGTGACTGTATAAAATTCTGGACTTACCTTTGGGTTCCTTGTACCTTTTGTCACCTTCGTGTAGGGAACCTGATGGCAACTGAATAAAGGATCTTTGCTTTTAAAAAGCTGCTTGCTTCTTTCTCTCCCTGTTTGGACATCACCCGTCTTTTCCGACTGTAGTGGACCCCTTTGGGGCCCCAAACCAAAATCCTATGTTTTTTTAACTCAGTACTGCTTCTCCAATGATCACTGCAAATGGTGACAGCAGCCACAAAATTAAAAGATGCCTGCTTCTTGGGAGAAAAGCAATGACAAACCTAGACAGCATCTTAAAAAGCAGAGACATCACTTTGCCAACAAAGGTCTGTATAGTAAAAGCTATGGTTTTCCCAGTAGTGATGTATGGAAGTGAGAGCTGGACCATAAAGAAAGCTGATCGCCAAAGAATTGATGCTTTTGAATTATGGTGCTGGAGGAGACTCTTGAGAGTCCCATGGACTGCAAGAAGATCAAACCTATCCATTCTTAAGGAAATCAGCCCTGAGTGCTCACTGGAAGGACAGATCCTGAAGCTGAGACTCCAATACTTTGGCCATCTCATGAGAAGAGAAGACTCCCTGGAAAAGACCCTGATGTTGGGAAAGATGGAGGGCCCAAGGAGAAGGGGACGACAGAGGACGAGATGGTTGGACAGTGTTCTCGATGAGTTTGACCAAACTGCGGGAGGCAGTGGAAGACAGGAGTGCCTGGCGTGCTCTGGTCCATGGGGTCACGAAGAGTCGGACACGACTAAACGACTAAACAACAACAACTGCTTCTCCCCAGTAATGCTCCCAAATATCCTGTTCCTACCTTATTCTAGTTACTATATTTTTATTCTTCAAGGAGCTCAGTCTGATGTATTATTGGGGTCTCAAAGGGACTCCTTAGAGTTGGAGCCACTGACCTGAGGGATCCCTACTCAACCCTATAGCTCACTGGGGGACTTTGGGGCAGTCATACTCTCTGGGCCTAGCCTGCCTCACAAATCTTACCAACCTGAAGATGCTGCTGCTGTTGTTATATATAAAAAGGACATCTCAGGGCTTTCTTACCCTTGTGATTATAATCTGTTGCATCTTTCTTCTCGTTTTTTAATTTTAAATTGTTGCAGCCTCCCCTGGGACTTTGCAGGTAGTAGTTGTAGTAGCAATAATTAGAATAATATTGTTATGCACTGAAGTTCTCACCCTGGGCCAGCAGGGGGATACTGTAGATAATTATGCAAATAAGGGATCGAAAGTGACATTCAGTGATTGGATAGTTTTAGAAAATTGTTACAGTTACGTTGTACTGGAGCTCTATATAAGCAGGCTGACTGAACCCTCCAGTTCAGTTCTGTACTGGCCTATGAATAAACAAGAGCTGTTTGAAGAATCGCTGTGTCGTCTGATATGTTCACCCACAACTTAACAAATATGAAGACATAAAACAATAGAATTGTAGAGTTGGAAGGGATCTTGTGGAGCTATCTAATCAAATTCTTTTCTCGGTGCAGCGATCTTGCAACTCCAGCATCCCTAGCAGGTGGCAGTTTAAATATCTAGACGTGGTTGACAGGACTACACAGTTTTTTCTGGGTAAGAATAGAAGCTATCATTCTCTCTCCACACCCTGACACTTTCAAAGGGAGAGAAAAACTCATGACCCACCTTGCCGTTGTGCCATCAGTAACTTAATGGTCAGACTGTTCTTACAATTGAGCCTGAAAATAGAATAATTACATTTTAGCTCTTTTGCAATTTTGGCTGCAATCCCAACCACCGTCTCTTCATCACCTCAGCAACGTCCGACTCTCTATCTTCTCCTTCTTTAATCTGTGCCCCCTCCCTATATCGTTTTCCTAATCTTTACCTCATCCACTATTTTCCATTAAACAATCTAAGCCATTTGTAGCTGGCCCCATCTATGCTCCGTCAAAGTGGACTGGTGGAGTGTTGGATCTCTGAAATCATTTCTTAAAGAGTTAGTTTGGATGGCTATTATTTCCTAAATGTTCTGGAAAAATGAAGGGACGGGCCTTTTGGGGAAGGGATGTGACTCAGTGCTAGAACATCTGCTCTGTATGCAGAATGTATTAGGTTCAATCCCTGGTGGTGTTGTGGTCTAAACCACTGAGCCTCTTGGGCTTGCCGATCAGAAGGTCGGCGGTTCGAATCTGCGCAACGGGTTGAGCTCCTGTTGCTCTGTCCCAGCTCCTGCCAACCTAGCAGTTCAAAAGCACACCAGTGCAAGTAGATAAATAGGTACCACTGTGGCAGGAAGATAAACAGCATTTCCATGCACTCTGGCTTCCGTCACGGTGTTCTGTTGTGCCAGAAGCGGTTTAGTCCTGCTGGCCACATGACCTGGAAAGCTGTCTGTGAACAAACATTGACTCCCTCAGCCTGAAAGTGAGATGAGTGCCACAACCCTATAGTCACCTTTGACTGGACTTAACCATCTAGGGGTCCTTTACCTTTACCTTTACACTTACCTTCAGTTAAGACTAGGAATGTCCCTATGCCCTTTTAAAACGTGGCTCTTTTTTGGCGGGGGTGCTAGTGGGTTGTTGTTTTCATTTTGATTATTTATATTGTGATTTCATGTTGGTCTTTTCTGTGAACTGCCCTGAGACCTCTGGGTATAGGGTGGTATATAAATTCTAATAATAATAATAATAATAATAATAATAATAATAATAATGTCCCCTGACTGCTGCCCGTCAGTGCAGGCAACATTGAGCTAAATGGACCAATGGTCTGACTTGGTGTAAGGCAGCTTCCTCTGTTCCCTAAGGAATGTGAGAAGTGGAAACGAAAGGTAGTCATCATTTAACATTTACTCAGAACAGACCTATTGGGAAATGATTGCCAAACCTGATCTCGTTTTTTGACAGAATTACAAGCCTGGTAGATGAAGGGAACGCAGTGGATGTAGCCTACCTTGATTTCAGCAAGGCATTTGACAAGGTGCCCCATGATATTCTTGTAAAGAAGCTGGTAAAATGCGGTCTTGACTATGCTACCACTCAGTGGATTTGTAACTGGCTGACTGACCGAACCCAAAGGGTGCTCATCAATGGTTCCTCTTCATCCTGGAGAAGAGTGACTAGTGGGGTGCCACAGGGTTCTGTCTTGGGCCCGGTCTTATTCAACATCTTTATCAACGACTTGGATGATGGACTCAAGGGCATCCTGATCAAATTTGCAGATGACACCAAACTGGGAGGGGTGGCTAACACCCCAGAGGACAGGATCACACTTCAAAACGACCTTGACAGATTAGAGAACTGGGCCAAAACAAACAAGATGAATTTTAACAGGGAGAAATGTAAAGTATTGCACTTGGGCAAAAAAAATGAGAGGCACAAATACAAGATGGGTGACACCTGGCTTGAGAGCAGTACATGTGAAAAGGATCTAGGAGTCTTGGTTGACCACAAACTTGACATGAGCCAACAGTGTGACGCGGCAGCTAAAAAAGCCAATGCAATTCTGGGCTGCATCAATAGGAGTATAGCATCTAGATCAAGGGAAGTAATAGTGCCACTGTATTCTGCTCTGGTCAGACCTCACCTGGAGTACTGTGTCCAGTTCTGGGCACCACAGTTCAAGAAGGACACTGACAAACTGGAACGTGTCCAGAGGAGGGCAACCAAAATGGTCAAAGGCCTGGAAATGATGCCTTATGAGGAACGGCTAAGGGAGCTGGGCATGTTTAGCCTGGAGAAGAGGAGGTTAAGGGGTGATATGATAGCCATGTTCAAATATATAAAAGGATGTCACATAGAGGAGGGAGAAAGGCTGTTTTCTGCTGCTCCAGAGAAGCGGACACGGAGCAATGGATCCAAACTACAAGAAAGAAGATTCCACCTAAACATTAGGAAGAACTTCCTGACAGTAAGAGCTGTTCGACAGTGGAATTTGCTGCCAAGGAGTGTGGTGGAGTCTCCTTCTTTGGAGGTCTTTAAGCAGAGGCTTGACAACCATATGTCAGGAGTGCTCTGATGGTGTTTCCTGCTTGGCAGGGGGTTGGACTCGATGGCCCTTGTGGTCTCTTCCAACTCTATGATTCTATGATTCTATGATTTGTCATGGGACGTGAGTGGCACTGTAGTCTAAACCACTGAGCCTCTTGGCCTTGCCGATCAGAAGGTCAGCGGTTCAAATCTGTGCAAGAGGGTCAGCTCCTGTTGCTCTGTCCTAACTCTTGCCAACCTAGCAGTTCGAAAGCACGCCAGTGCAAGTAGATAAATAGGTACCACTGTGACAAGCAGGTAAACAGTGTTTCTGTGCACTCTGGTTTCCGTCACGGTGTTCCATTGCACCAGAAGCGGTTTAGTCGTGCTGACCACATGACCAGGAAAGCTGTCTGTGGACAAACGCCAAATCCCTCGGCCTGAGGCGAGATGAGCGCTACAACCCCATAGTCACCACTGACTGGACTTAACCGTCCAGGGGTCCTTTACCTTTACCTTTACCATGGCCATTAATTCCAGTGTGTTGACTCTGAATTAAACTTGATTTAATACAACTCCAAGGCCACACTTGAACCTTACATTTAAAGTATCATTATACCACTTTTAAAGTTCTGGCTTCCCCATAGATTCCTGGGAATTGTAGCTTGCTAAGGGTGCCACGAGTTGCTAGCAGACCCCCCCATTTCCTTCACAGAGCTACAGTTCAGAGAACAAGTTAGGAATTAGTCCTTCTTCCAGGGAACTGAACTCTGGGAAATGTAGTTCTGGAATGTGGCCCCCAGAAGATTGCCCAGAAGGAAATGTGGACCTCAAGCTGAGAAGGACTCTCCACCATTGTGTTACATGAAGAGACTTTGGTGGGAAGGACTCGGAGAAGCTTTCACACACACTCTGTCAGTTTGCATTTCTTAGTGCAGAAAGTATTGATCTGATATGTAGAGATCTTTCCTTTTCTAATTAATTCAAGAGGGTTCTGGAAGCTTCTCTGTGAGACAGAAGCAAGCAGAAGGTTCCTGATGTTTGGGTTATTCCTTCAGAGTAGCTGAGTACAGCTGGCTTAAACTGACTCTGTTTTCTCTTCTTCACGTTAATAAGAAGCGAGAAGAAGCCTGGGCTTCACTTTCTCTTTCTAACTGTTTTCCTTCTGGTGTGGTGTTCTGTATATAGTGTTAAGGTTTAGTCTTATTATAAGTTCATGTAAGTTTAAGTTAAGTCTGCTGCAACTGGATTTCTTATGGACAGTGCCAATCTTGAATGTATTGGATTTGTGACAATTATGCTCATTTGCTTTCAGTAGCAGTAAAGCTCCGCTGGATGAAATATAATTGCCTTTGGTCTATCTTTTGGGCAACATGTTTAAGTTTTTACACTGCTAACTATACACCCTGTGGAATGCCCTCCCATCAGATGTCAAAGAAACAAACAACTATCTGAAGTTTAGAAGACATCTGAAGGCAGCCCTGTTTGGGGAAGTTTTTAATGACTGATGTCTAAATGTATTTTTAATATTTTGTTGGAAGCCGCCCAGAGTAGCTGGGGAAACCCAGCCAGATAGGCAGGGTATAAATAAATTATTATTATTATTATTATTATTATTATTATTATTATTATTATTATATTGGAATCTGCTCTGGATCAATATTGAGTAGAATCAGGGGTGTCTTACCCATAGACGTTAGTGGCGCAGGGCACCAGATTTTGGAGGGTGCCACAGGCTGAGTGTCAGGCAAGGAGAGTCAGGGCGCGCTCCCTTCCCCACGCTGGGGGAGCCCACTCCTCTCCTCTCAGCCACCCATTGGAGCATGCTGCATCTGGCTCAGGGAAGCCCCTTTGTGTCCCCTCCCACCAGGGCTGCTGCCTGGGTGCCTGACGGGCACGATCGGGGGACGGGCACGGGGCACCCCTCTCTGGCCATGTCACTGCCTGCGTGCCTCCCTGCGGAGTCTGCGAGCGGAGCAGAGAAGCGCCCTGTGCGATCCTGGCGCCGAATGAGAATGGCACAGCCAGCAAGCCACCTGATCTGCTTGCTGGCCCTCCTGTGGGGCAGACTTCCCCGGACGGGGGCAGGTAAGGGGCACTGGGCGCTTAGAGGGAGGCTTCATGGGAGGCCATCTGGGCTGCGATCCCGGAGCCCATAGCTGTCAACTTTCAGATTTGAAAATAAGGGATCAGCAGCCTCACCTGTCCTGGGGACAGTCTACGGGATATCTAACAATCCGGGATAGCAGTGGGAAGCAGTGGGAAATGGTGCTGGAATAAGGGAATTTCCCACAAAAAAGGGAAGGTTGACAGCTATGATCCGGGCGCCTCTTACTTACGTGCCGCGCTGAGCGTGTGCTGGACCACATGATGTAAACCAGCTGGACCGAAGTCCCCCCCCTTAATAAAAACTCTGGGAAATGGGGGGGTGGGGGGTGCCGGAGAGATATTTGCACCACGGCACCGGATATGCTTAAGACGGCCCTGAGTAGAAAGCCACTTCCGACATAAGGAGGAGGTGGTGTTGCGGGCTCACGCCCCCAACAATCATGTGGGGCTGGCTGCAGCCCCGCGCGACCAGGGGAATCCTCGGGACGAGTCAGCCCCAGAGCCAGCCAATCAGCTGGTTCTGGGGGCGTGGCCTGGGACATTTGCGGCCCCGGGATCTCCCCTTTTCGTCCCAGATTTGGTTTTATTATGTAGATGTGTTGGGGGGGCGGAGAGCCATCACCTCCCCCAAATATTAAAGGGTAACCTGGTAAAGGATTCCAGGGGGCGTTGTCTCGTCTGAAACCTATGGAGGCCAGGGCCTAAAGCACGCCCCCGAGTGGTGACCCCTGGGGGAGTTCCTAGTGATGTGCATCCCAGGGCTCCTGCTGCTGGTGTTAACCCTTTCCAGTGTTCATGCTAACAGTCTGAAGCTGGATAGTCTGATAGGTCCAATGCCTAAAGCCAATACCGCTCTTACCTGTAAACAATAAAGTTGTGGCCAATTTTTGCCCATTAACCTTAATCAATTGTGTCCTGTGTCTTTATTATTCCAATTGGGGGGAGGCGGGAATCGCCACGCAATTCAAGGACACACACACACATCTCCACAAGTGGTGCAGCGTAGCCAGGTTGGCATCCTCAGTCTCATCTCCACCCATCCTTCTGTGACTGACCTGTGGGGGCTCCCTGCGTCCCCATGGCCTGGCTTGGCTGATCTTCAGTACCGATTCTCCGCTTGGGCCCAGCCAGTGCACTTTTCGGCCCAGGAAGGGCAGTGGTAGCAGTTGCCTAAACTGCCATCCCAAAGCCCACCACAGGTACCGCCGCTTCACCATATCCCCACGACACGTGGTCCAAGGCATGCTTCCCTGTCCTTTCGGTGGGCTCTCCTCACTCGCGCCTCCTTCTTTTCTTGCTCCCTTGAGCTCCCTCTTCCTATGGCCACCTGGAGCTGGAACAGAGGGGCTTCTGTGGAAAATATATATCCGGCAGTTGGGAACACACAGAACATTTTAGAACATTCTGGAACCCCCGTCCCCTCTTTGGCTGTGTTGAGAGTTCATAAAAAACCCACAGGTTTTTTTCCACTTTAGAGGAATTTATTTTAAGTTAAAATACAGTGGTACCTCAGGTTAAGAACTTAATTCGTTCTGGAGGTCTGTTCTTAACCTGAAGCACCACTTTAGCTAATGGGGCCTCCCGCTGCTGCCGCGCCACCAGAGCATGATTTCTGTTCTCATCCTGAAGCAAAGTTCTTAACCCAAGGTAAAATTTCTGGGTTAGTGGAGTCTGTAACCTGAAGTGTATGTAACCTGAAGCGTATGTAACCCGAGGTACCACTGTACCAATAACTTTTTTAAAAAATCCTAGTCAATATCTATACTGAACTTAAAGTCATTTTTACAGATTCAATTTTTAAAAACTGTTTATGCCACCACACTTATGCTGACCACTAAGAAAATATCTTCCGTAATAGTTAGTGGATCATCTGATTTTAAATTTTTACATGGTTTTTGGTGTGTGTGAGTGTGTGTGAATAATCATATTACAGTGGCTAACAAAACCTGAATGCTAAACTGTTATAGCAGAATGTTCCAGCTTTTGCCTTTGTCAATTGCTCTGATCAAAATGTTGCTGTACCTAAGGTGGCCTTTATAGAGCTTTCATTACTGTCAGGGGTTCAGGGACAGAGGCACAGAGGAGGGAGGAGACGGAGAGCGATGAGGATGAATCCCAGGACAGCGAGGAAGAGGATGACAATGACTCGAGAGATTCCATGAGTCTTTCAAGTGAATCGGAGGATTCCCAGAAGGGGGCGCCTGCAGTCAGGCCAAGGGGAGTCCCAGGGGGGATTCGTCAGGAGCAAGGGGCCAGCAGGGGACCCCAAGATGAGAGCTGGGAGTCAGGACCGGCTTCCCCGCCGGAGCGCAGTGAAGGGGGTGGAGGTTTCAGTGTTACAGGGGAAGCAGCTCCGGCAGCCGAGGAAGAGGGGAGGTCGGAGCAGGACATCCTCCTGGAAGGGGAGGAGAGTAGTGGGGGGAGTAGTGTAACTGTCAAGAGGAAGGTTAGAGGTTGGGGACGTGCGCCAAGTTCAAATGTGGAGGCGCGCGGAAGAACAGGGAGCCCGGAGGAGGAGCCAAGTCCCAAAGCCCGCAGGAGGGAGGGAGAGCAGTCTGGGGATTCCAGGAGGGGCGAAAGCCTGGCGGGCAGAAAGGCCCTGCGGAAAAGGAAAGAAAGGAAGAGGTGGAGTAGCGAAGCCTCTTAAACTGGTGTAAGGGAGGAACTGACTCAGAGGGGAACTGACTTCAACGGTCTAAGCGTAACAGACGTGGGGCTGCGCGCCTCGGTTGTGAAGCAAACAATGAACTGCAATAAACACCTTTGTATATAAGAAGAACTCGGCGTTGGTCTTTTGTGAGCTGAGACCTGAGGCAGCCCTGACAATTACTATCTGTCTTATGTGGGGCCACATCCATGCCATACATTTAAAACACTACAATAGATAGTCATGACTTTCCCCAAAGAATTCTGGGGGTTATAATTTTTTAAGGGTGTTGAGAGTTGTTGGGAGACTTCCTTCACTGAGCTGCAATTCCCAGTGTGGTTTCATAACCCATCTCTCTTCCAAGGGGACTCTGGGAATTGTAGCTCAGCGAGGGGTTTAAGGGTCTCTTAAGGATGCTCAGCTTTCCTTACAATGAATGCTCACATTATTTAAGTGATGTTGCTAACAGTGATTAGTGAGGAGAGAGCTTAGCCATGAGCCCAGGTTCAGACAGCAAACATGCTAAGCTAAACCAAGAGAGCCAGAGAGGAGCAAAATGGCTGTAAATTCCAGGAGTTTGCACATTTGTATGGTCTTGGAAAGCCATTGTTTGGCTTATCATCTCGTGCAAAGCAGGCATTATGTGTGTGCTTTCACTTGGAAAAAACCAAAAATGACTCAAAACATAATCCAGAGTAGTAAGTAAAATTAGTTTTTTAAAAAATGCACAGCAGTAAAAAAACAAAACAAAACTATAGGCGTAGTATCATGACACCTGCATTTGTTCAAAGAGCAAAACCCTGGAGACATTTTTCCAGGTGCATACCACCAGGTAAAAGTGTGTGATGATCAAACTGTGATCAGGCAGTCTTTCCGTTTGACTGGCAGCTTCTGATAAATTAAAGTAATTGCTGGTGTTTTGCATTCCTTTACATCAGAAATGATTCAATTACTTAGCAAGTTAACTGCCTAAATATTTTGAAGTAATTTGCAATAACTAGTCAGGCGAGTAATTGGATATCATGTTATCAAATTACTAGGGGTTTTTGTAGAGTCAAATGTATGAAGTAATAATAATTAATAATGATGATACCAGCAAGGAGACCATGATGGTGTTTGGACTGTAATATGGAGCATTACAAACTAGAATATCACCTTGCAGATATCTTGACCGCAGGAAAAAAGCTGGGATAAAGGCTGAAAATACACGAGGCTTTCTGAATGTCATTACTGCAAGGGAGACGAGGCCAAACAAAATGGCAGTGCAGAGGATCTCCCACTTTCTTTTCTTTGATGCGCTAATTCAGGGGTTTCCAACCTTTCGTGGCCAGTGGGGACATTTGCAATTTCGAGAAAGTGCTGTGGGTGCCAGGCACAAAATGGCTGCTTTGGAGGGTTGGGCGGTATATTCCTCTCCATTAGACACAAGTGGCCAACAGTTAGATATCTCTTCATATTACTTTGCCTTTATGTATGCTACTACTGCAGCCCATGTTTTGTTAGCCCCCAAATAAAAAACGAGTGAGGTCCCAACCAAAGAAGAATGGCGACTTAAGTAGACAGAATATGCACAACTCACAGACTTAACATATAGAATAAGAGAACGAGAAGAACCTACGTTTAAAGAAGATTGGAAAACATTAATTGGATATGTGGGAAATAATTGTGTACAGCTGAAAACGCCAGCAGCATTAAGATAAATTCAGCAGTGTAAATAAGTTTTGATGGATGCAATAATGGAATACTGAATGGTATCGTTTTTGTAAAATATGCAGGGATTGATGATATGTAAAATGAACCATGGAAAGATAAGAAGGGAAGTCGTTGATATCTTAAGGATGTAAAATGAGTATTTTAAATTACATGGTTCAATTTATCTTCATCTTGCTTTGCCTTGGTGTGTGTGTGTGTGTGTGTGTGTGTGTGTGTGTCACATGCCAGGTGCAGGCCAGAGAAGCAACGAATGCAACTCTGACCTTTGTTTCTACACAGATTCACACAGATCTCCCCATTCTTCCGCCAGTCAAGCAAGCAGCATGATCAGAGATCAAGGATACATTAAAACCAGGCAACACAACAACAACAAACATTTCGGGTGGAAAACAGGTACAGTGAAAGGTGTGAAGCATTCTGAGGGCCAGACAGAGAGTCACGGAGGGCCGCATTCGCCCCCCCACCTTACTTTTCCCATTGCTCTGATCTTCCCTTCCTCCGTTCTGTAAGAACCAACCTCAATCATCACAAGCATTCAAAAGAAACCGCAATCAAGATTAAAAGAAAATAAAACCCCCCGAATTTTCTCCACTTCCTTCTGATCCATTTAATTCTCGAGATATGCTACCGCAGAACAATTTCATGGAGAATTACTCAGAGAAAGGGCAGCTTTGTTTTCTGCATCAGCAGTCCTGCCATTCTACTTCCAGCCCCCTCCCAATTTATTTGTGTTTCCCTTTGAAGTCCCAAATAAACCCACAGAAGGAAAAAATAACAATGATTTGTGGCATAGTATTGTGGTATCGCGTAGAAGTCTCACATGGGGTGAGGAAAGCTGGGCTTAAATTTAACCCATCCTCGCCACCCTTCTCGAAATAGGTTTGTCTACCTGATGTGCAGAATTCAACTAAGAAGCCTGAAACGAGGGTGGGGAACATGTGGTCCTTCAGATATTGTAGGACTCCATCTCCCATCACCCCTGACCCTTGCCATGCTGGCTGGGGCTGACGGAAGCTGGGGCCACTTAAGCTGATGAAATATGCACAGCTTGCAGATTTAACATATAGAATAAGAGAACAAGAAGAACATACATTTAGAGAAGGCTGGAAAATGTTTATTGAATATATCAGGGGAAATTGTGTACACGTGAAAACATTGGCAGCATTAAGATAAATTCAACAGTGTAAATCAGTTTTGATGGATGTAATAATGGAATACTGAATGGTTTAGTTTTTGTAAAATATGCAGGGATTTATGATATGCAGAATGAACCATGGAAAGAGAGGAAGGGAAGTCGTTGATATTTTGAGGACGTTTAAGTGCGTATTCCAAATTGTAAAATATAAAATTTAATTACACACACACACACACGAAAATCTCTCAACCTTACTTTGAAACACACCAAAGTTAAAATGCTAAATTAGATTAAAATTACCTTAATGTTCTAAGCATCTGAGTAGGCTTGTCTAAACAGGAATGTTTTTTGCAGGAGCCAGAAAGAGTACAGTGAAAGTGCCTGTTTGATCTCAATAGGCAGGGAGTTTAAAAATGTAGGTGCTGTCACACTAAAATGATCAAGTTCTTACCGCTATGGAACGGGTATTATGTGTCACCTGTAGTAGTGCCAATTATGCCAATCAAAGCAGTTGTGTGGGCACATGTGGGGTAAGGCGATTTTGTAGGCCATCAATGGCTTTATAAACTAATTGCACCGCCTTGAATTTGGCCCGGTAGCAAATCAGCAGCTATTGCAGATATCCGAGTGCCGGTGCCATATACAGTGGTACCTCGGGTTACATACGCTTCAGGTTACAGACTCCGCTAACCCAGAAATAATACCTCGGGTTAAGAACTTTGCTTCAGCACGAGAACAGAAATTGTGCTCCGGCGGCGCAGCAGCAGTAGGAGGCCCCATTAGCTAAAGTGGTGCTTCAGGTTAAGAACATTTTCAGGTTAAGAACAGACCTCCAGAACGAATTAAGTACTTAACCCGAGGTACCACTG